ACAGGTGGCATCCTATGACAGTTCCACGCTGGAATTCACTGAGCTCCTGAGAGCGGCCCATTCTTTCACAAATGTTTGTAAAAACAGTCTGCATGCCTAAGTGCTTGATTTTATACACCTGTGGCCAGGCCAAGTGATTAGGACACCTGATTCTGATCATTTGGATGGGTGACCGAATACTTTTGGTAATATACTGTATTTTGTACTATTTTAGTCATTTTCGAAGGTTGGCAATTATTCTGTAGTTGACTATATTTACATAATAAGGTTGAACTGAAATCCTGAAATCACCCACTATAAAGCCTAATTGTAAACAACACACTGCAACTTTTTAACCTTTGTTTTATCAGTTGATCAGAATAATTTTATAATAATGTAAGCCACTCAGCTGGTGATATTATTAGAGCCAAGTTAAGATGGTGAGAGTACAGAGTGAGGGGGCATTGGGGAGTGTCTATAAAATGACTGACACAAGGCCCATGCAAACATTTCAGGGCCCAAATTAAATGCATTTGGATTTTTTGCTAATGTTTTTTTTTTTTTCCATCCATATAATACATAGCCATGGATTAAACCACAATTTTTTATGATGCTCTGCATATAAACCCAGGTTCCTTATACGTGTGGGGAAATTAAAAAAAAAATTGATTATTGCTCCTTTAAACAGACTGACAACCTTTGTTTCTCTTTAAAACTTTCTGCCATTGTCGTGACTGTTAACATGAGCTGGGTCTCAAATTGAAAACTCACAATATTTAAAAGTATTTACTAATATAGAAAATCCAGAAGGCTGGTACACAAAACAGACCTTCCTGTAGTTTTTGAAAATTCAAACACTACCCATAATAAGAAAACCGATTAGTGTTAGTCAGTAATGGTCTAGAATAGTACATAGCATTGTGTCTCAAATCACATACTTAACTTTAGCAGCGGTACAGTACTATGCAAAAGTCTTAGGCACATGGTGTAAAAGACTATAAAGTGGTAGCTCGGTGGTTAAGACAAACTGCTACTTCTGGCCCCTTGAATAAAGCCCTTAACCCTCAACTTCTCAGTTGTATAAACAAGATAAATGTAAGTCACTGTGGATGTAAATTTGGCATGACAACCCTTACAGTGGTCTCGGGTACAATTTTTGCAGTTTTATAAGAAAAGTGTCTGGTAAGTTTTACTGAGCATCTTGGAGAATCTGCCTAAGTCTTCTAGAGATTTTGACTGTTGCACATTCTTCTTTTTTGCATGCAAAACCCAGCAGACTTCTTTGTGTTTTTATTTGTATTTTTTTGTATTAAAAATGGTCTGTTATATAATATGTTGCTTTCTTTACTGACATACAAACATTTTTGTAACTTTTTTTTTTTTTTTTATTACAGTAATGTTTGGAAACCTAAAATGTTTTTGTACTGACTCATGAATGCAGAAGTGATAAAATACACATAAAACAAATAAAAAAAATTGTTCTGAAAGAAGCATGCCTAAGACTTTTCACAGTACTGTAAATGGATGGGGAAATTTGTCCTACGCTGCTGCAGTGTTGTCATGTTATGGCTGGTTTCAAAATAACTGTTACAAAATTCTGATTGCACTCACCTGTCTACTGGTCACTAATCACACATACTCCTAGCAACCCTAGTACCATTTCCAAGCTCTTATTCTCCTCGTGATTGTGTTTCTGGTTTTTGACTCCTTTCTGTGGACACTTTTAGTTTTCCCTGTTTATTAATCACCTGATTTTGCCTTTTGATTTTGCCTTGCTGATTTTTTTGCATTGAGTTTTGGATTGTTTGCCTGATTGTTTAAATAAACAACCAAGCTGAACTTACCCGACACAGGATACTGGAAAAAAAAAGATAAAAATAATATGTACACTCTTCACTCTTCTAGCAGTAACATTTCAAAATAGTAGCACACAAAATCTGTGTTCATAGTTAGAGCGGTATTTCTAATATTAATTTGTAAAATAAATGAATAATACAGAGTACAGTGTGAGTTTCTCTCATGACCCCATTTGTAAATCCAGCGACTCCAAGTGGTGACACGACCCATAATTTAGGAAACTGTGTACTAGACCATGTCCCCACATGCCATAGTTTTTTTTTTTTCTAACTTTGTTACACAGTCTATTTTCTAATGGGGTCCTTATTTTATGTATTTTCATGTGGAGAGAAAGGTGTTAGATGAAAGTGGAAAAAAGGAGAGAAAAAAAAATCTAAATTCTTCTCACAGTATATGTTAATAATGTAATTGTTAATAATATAACCAGCTTAGAAGATTCATACTATTTCACACATCCTTCTTCCTATAATTAAAAATTATTTGTAAAAAATTAGGGTTGTCCATGTAATAATCAGTTAATCATGTCAATCAATCAATTAATTTTTCTTCTTCTTTCGGCTGCTCCCATTAGTGGTCGCCACAGAGGATTATGGTCCTCATGTTTGATTTGGCACAGATTTTACGCCGGATGCCCTTCCTGACGCAGCCCTCCCCAATTTTATCTGGGCTTGGGACCGGCACTGGGAGTGCACTGTCGGGGTTCCCTGACTGGGAATCGAGCCCGGGCCACGGCGGTGAGAGTGCCGAGGCCTAACCACTAGTCCTCGAATGACCGCTAATTAATAAATTGATAAGAGTTTTAAATTTAACAGGCCTAATCTAAATATGAGGACTGGGTTTAGAAGGCAGTTAGTATTGTTGTTTTTGTTTGTTTCTTAAAAGTTTATGATTATGGCTTAGTAAAGAAGTTGCCATAAATTTTTGATCACTTTCTTACTCTCAGCTGCTCTGATCAGCTGCTCTGATTTTAAAATTAAGATACATATTTCTGTGGATGCTTATGAGTCATAGAATCAGAATAGTCTCATTAAACAACAACAGTGCATAAAGAATAAATGTTTTTGTCATGTTTATCATGTTTTTTTTATCAGATAAACAAGTAATTGTCATTTTAAAACTGCTGAATGTAGGATTTGGAGATTTGGTAGTTATAAACCCTCGCTTGTGGAAAATATTATTTCAAGCTTCTTGTAGAAGAACATTTTATAGCATAGGTTTTGCTGTACTTTCTCCACCGTGTAGATTAATCTGACAGCTGTAAGTGCCAAATCAATGCACATTCAAGGGGAAAGCTATGACCCAAACCACATATTGCACTCTAAAATGTATGCCTAAATTGTAATGACACTGCTGCTGTCTGTCTACTGTCTATTCATCACCCTCCACAGTGAGGAATGATGCAGAAGAGTGTATATATCTACAAAGCTTTCTAGGCAGAGAGAAGTAATCTTTTTTGGCAGGAATAAAAGCAGGCAGAAGTCTCCACTGAGCTGTTGCATGGAAGAGGAAAAATGCCACTGAAGTACAGCCACCTCGCATACAGAGACATACTATATGCTATACAGCAGGGATCACATTGCTGCAGCCCAGAACACAAAAGCAATTTCAAAGCGGTCCTACCCAGAATAGGCACAAATCAAGAATGGTTTTCTTCTCTGCACTAGAGCTTTGGAGATTGATAACAATAGACCAGTGGCTACTGGGCAAACTGTCCACAGGGTAACTTTTACAATTGTACTGTCGTCCACTGCCAAATACAGGGATCAGCCCCACAGAGGGAAAAGACCTAATGGAGATGACTATACTGACTGTGGACTAGTGGATACAGGCAATAGAATTAGCAAATGGACCAGAAAGCTATTTTCTGAGTCTAAAAAATGGAGACAGAATCCATTCAGTTTTAGATCTAAGATCTTAATATGTGCCTTCCTAAAATGACTGCCATTCCATTTAGTACACATACCAGATATGAGCTAAACAAACCCTGTTTTTTAAGCTTAGATCTGAAGGATGCTTGGATGTTTATACATTCTAATTGCTGTGGAGCACAGACAATTCCTCTCCTTCCACAAAACTGGAGTGATATATTAGTTTAGAGTCCTTCCTTTGGGTTAGCTTTAGCACCCTAAAGCACCCTAGAGCTCCTGGTGTCTGGACAGTCCCAACAGCAAATAATGAGCCAAATAGAGCTCCAGATCACACATGACGATATTAATATTTAACGTCAATTACAAGAAGAGCCATCTTACACATATACAGACCTATACAGCCTTTCTGACAGAAAAAGAGCCCCCTTGATCATAAAAGCAGTCAGAAGATTATGAGTAACCACACAAAGTCCATATACCTGATATTTGGCAGGTATGTTTTCAGCAGCAACCCCAGTGCCAAACCTGGGAACATTCCTCCTAGCAAGGCAATGGGGAATGTGGAAAAACATGAAAGTTGAAAGAAAATGGAAAAAACAAGGATCAATGTCATCACCATTTCAGGAACCCCTAAAACCCCTAGAATAATCATTTGTATTAGTACAGACCAACAAGACCACGGTGGAGTTTTACATCAATCACAAGGGGGAACAAAATTGTAAGTAATGTTGAGGTGGGCAAATAAGCTCTGGAATTAGGCAGATGCATTCTTCCTGTCTCCGAAAGCTGTGTACCTGGCTGATACAATAACACAGTGGATGTGCAACTCATTCCCCACTGTGATTTACAGACAGGGCAGAGATAGAGTGCATAGCATTTATGCAGGATTTTAACTACTACACAGCTCTGGGGCTAGAGATGGTTCTCCCTCCATAACGGACCCCTTGGTCTTTCCCGATACACTGAGTGGTTAACCAAGCCATGCTGCAAGACTTGTGTTTGTACACTGAGCATCTGCATTCCCTGGAAGCCATTGACCAACTTAAGGACACAGATTCTGGCTCAGGCATCCCCTATTCTGTGTTGCCAGTGTGACACGGTATGCTTGGCTAGCAGATTTAGACCCAGATTCATAGTCAACATTGACCTAAACTGACCTAAACACCACGGCCTAAACCACTTGCTCTTCACAAATGCCTCTTCTGGCGATCAATGATAAACATATGTGCAGAAAGCAATCTGAGTCCCTTTTTTTTTTGGCCAACTTGGTGGCAGACAGGGCTCAGCTGAAATCAATGATTCAGGAGCTGAGACTGCTCAATTAAAGTCCTCCAACAGGGCCTTCCTTTTAATTGAATGACAAGGTCTTCATCAGAGGAATACTACCTCTACATCCACATGTATGATCCACAAGAGATTCGTCTGGGCTGATAATCTTGTTGAACTGTACTCAACTCTGCCTCAGAAAGCTTGAAAAGTCTGAGTTGGCCTCTTTGAGCTTGTAGGTGCCTCAGAAAGTTTTTAAACTAGCCATGGCAGTCACTCTAAAAATGAGAGCAGCCTGAGGGAGGTTTGATAGTGCTACATAATACAAAATGCTCTTTTCACACAGTGCTAGTTGCAATGAAATTCAGTGCAAGGATTTTATTGAGAGCTTTAAATCAGAATTTGAACACATACCTCAACCATGCCCAGGCTCTGTGGCACACATTCTAGCTTATATGATGGATCACAAGCAGGTTGGGTAGAGCCACATGCTTGCCTTTGATGCCTGTATCGTGTTGATGGTGGTCTCACCAGATGTCCACCACTATGTCCAGATGTGCAGTAAGTCTAGATGCATTAATGACTTTCTAGTGCTCCTCTGTGGGGGAGCAGATTGAAACCTCTGTCCTAGCAGTGCCACATCTAGGTCAGGATATGGGGCAACTCTCCACCAACCAAGCATCATTAGGACAATCATACTGTCCAATATTCCAGGGATGCAAACTGTAGTTCTGCATTCAGCCCTTAATCATCTTGGGGATCATGGCCTTGTCAAGATCAGACCCCTGGTTCTTGCTCTGATCAAAGACAGTCATTTTGAGGCATAACCAAATGCCTAAGCTCCATGGCTTCAAATATTATATAATTTTAATGAAATTCTTAAAGAATGCTACAGACATAAATAAGGCTTGCTTCATTTTTTGTCTCTTGTAAAACTACCTCAGAAATTCTGACCTCTGTGTATGGTCAGGCCTCTTGTCCTAGAGGCACCCAGACATTTTCATTGTCCTTATTATCATTTTTCTCTGGTGGAGTAGTACTCTGTAGTGATGACTGACTGCTTGTTAATACGGAGGTTTAACTGGGTGTTATCCAATTCAGTTCAACTTTATATTAATAATAATAATAATAATAATAATAATAATAATAATAATAATAATAATATTTGTATGGCATTTTTAACAATGGATGTTGTCAGAAAGCAGCTTTACAGAAATCCAGATATAAAATTAAAATTAAAATTTTTAATTTATCCCTAATGAGCAAGCCAGGGCAATGGTGGCAAGAAAAATTCAAAAACAAAACAAAAAAAAAACCTTGAGAGGAGCCAGACTCAAAAGGGAAACCAACCTTTGGCCACAGAGCTTGGGCATAGTTGAGCTGTGTGTTCAAATTCTGTTTTAAAGCTCTTCTGGGTGATAATGTGATTATAAATAACATAAATAACTGTGTTTCCAATGTTGTATTAATGCTAGCTTTGACCTTACTTTACAAACTTTGCTGAAACTGCATGGACAAGTTTTGGCTTCAGTGGCACCCTTCTATGAGCAGCTTGCACAGACCCACCCACACACACACACACACACACAAATCAGAGTTTGATTGGAAGTACACCTACCAAGGTCAGGTTTCTGAAAGCATGCAGCTCAGCCATAGGTATAATCCTGGCATTCTGTGCTAATCTTCAGATGCCCTGGGCTTTTTTTGGTAAATTTTTACACCTCCAAGTACCTGATGTTGTGTGCAGGATTGCCAACTACTGTTTAGCCATAGTATTTATTAATTTTTTTTACCCCTTGGCAATACCAGCCACGCCAGAAAACTGTGCTTTTCTGCGTTTTCAGCTAAAACTGGGGTCAGATCAAATACAATAAAATTTACCCAGAGGACAAGCTAGTTCATTAAATTGGAAAGGATGTGGGATGTGTTAGAGTCAAGTTCTTCTGGTAAGCATAAACTTCTTGTTACCTAAGTAAAAATTACCAGGTTGCAGATTGCACAGTTGTATAACAGAAGCAACAAAGACTAAAGGAAGGAAAAAAAAAAAGTTTGCATGCAACTTACCTGCAGCACCTTCTATACATAAAATGTCAATGTTTTTGCACAAGCATATGATGCATAGCAGCGTATTAAACTTTCACTCGAATGATCTGTATGTGACATTCTGAACCAACATATTTTAACCCAGCTAATCTCTACTGCTACAGTATTTGATTAAGATTGATATGTAATAAATAATTTGACCTCTTTTTTACATATTGATCATTGCCCACTTCATGCATAAAGTTTATGCTTTTTTACGACACCTTACTGTGTTACCATGTGACACGTATGATGCCCTGCAATGGACAAGGGGTGTGTTTCCAACTCACATTCAGTGTTTACGGGATAGACTCAGGATTCACCATGACCCTGACCAAGATAAAAGCAGTTACTAGATGAATCGATTAATAAATTAATTTTAGCACCTTCATATCTGTCTATCTTTACTGTAAGGCCTATGAAAGCCTATGATTATACATTAACAGCAAATCTAAAACCATGAGATGTGTTTGTTGATCCTAATTATAAGCAAATATATTTCATCACAGTATGTTGCTATGACAATGACAGGACAGACCAGTGTATGTGGATTTAA